AGACAGGATTTCAACAGAATAAGGGCATTGAAGAACAGATTCTTCTCACTGAAGAAATGGTTCACAAGATTGACAACAAGACAAGAGGGGGAAATATTATCATAAAGCTAGATATGGCCAAGGCTTTTGATAACATGGAATGGGATTTTATCACCTTTGTTCTTCAGTCTTTGGGTTTCTCTGGGAAAGCCTGTGAACTTCTAATGGCTAACCTTTTTGCTACTCACATCTCTATCCTAATTAATGGTAGTCCTTGTGGCTTTTTTAAGATGCAAAGGGGTGTCAAGCAGGGGGATCCACTTTCTCCTCTACTATTCATTCTTGCCAGTGAAGGTCTGAGCTGCATTCTCAAACAATCAATGAATAAAGGTATCATTAATCATTATAACACTGGTAGGGATCTGATTGTCAGCCATTTGGGTTTTGCTGATGATATTATTATCTTCACTAAAGGAGATGGGGTTAATCTTAAGAAATTGGTGAGCCTTTTGAAGACCTACCTAGATGCATCTGGCCAGGTTATAAACTACTCTAAAAGTCGATTTTATTGTGGCAAAAAATGCTCCAGTTCAGATATTAACAAAATGGGGAGAATTCTGGGAATGCAACATGGTCAAATTCCCTTTAGATATCTTGGGGCACCTATATGTAAAGGGATCTTGAGAAAAGACGATTGTAAGGAGCTGATCAACCATATTGAGTTCTACCTTCATAACTGGTTTAGCAAGACTCTTAATCAAATGGGTAGACTGGTTCTTATCAAACATGTTCTTTCAGCCATTCCTCTACACATTCTTGCAGTTCATACCCTCCCTAATTCTGTCATCAACATTATTCATAGAAAAATGAATAATTTCCTATGGGGCTTGGAATCAGAAACTTAAAGGAGGTTCAGAAGGCTTATTCAATTAAGCTCTGGTGGAAATATCATAATGAGGACAGCAAATGGGCTAATTTTATGAGAAACAAATATGGAGATACTTTTAGAACTGAAAGACTTACAGACTCTACAGTTAAGAAAAGAATTTGCAGAATACATCATCAAGCACTCGAGCACTGTGAGTCTGCTCCTTTAGAGAATAATAAATTTTCCCTTAAAAAGGCTTTCAACTTCTGCAGGGGGAAGAGACAGCCCAAATGAGTAACAATTTTAACTCGAACAAGCTACAAATCCCTAAAGTCAGGCTCTTTCTCTGGAAAACAAATTATATATCACTCCCTTGGCCAGAAAACCTGACTAGGTTCTCTTACAGCTACCCTTCCATATGCCCTTTCTGCCTAAATCATGAGGGATCTTTGAACCACTGCCTCCTTCAATGCCCAAAAATCAGAAATATTTGGAGCAAGTTTGCTTACCTTTTAGATGGGCCAATTCTCAAAGATAACATCTCCTTCAAGCAACATCACCTCGAATGGAACTTGCGAGGCAACAATCACACGCTTAGAGGGAACCTTAAAAGGATAGCACCAGGCATCATCGGCTGGAACATCTGGAAGCATTATGCAGAAGTTAACTTTGGGAATAACAAATGCAGGGTCGAGGACATCACCAAGGACATTATTAGTAACCTTCAATCCTGGTGCTGGAAATACAGACACAAGAAATGGATGATCTACGATCGGGAACTAATCCATGAAAGGATTCAAATCCGGGCGCTCAGTGATTGGGCTTTCCGTTCTGCAGATTGATTTCCGTCCTCTCTTGGGCTACAGTTTTGTATTTTGTGCCAGTTTTTACTTTTGTTGTAACTATCCTTTTAATGTATTTTGTCCTACCTTCGGGGCCTCGGTCTAGTCCTCCTCGAACGTGTTATCAAAATTTTATCTAATAAAATTGGTAAGGGCGGCCTGGACCTTACCCCACCGATTTTGGTGGATCCTCTTCGGGTTTAATATATATATATATATATATATATATATATATATATATATCAAACAAGTAATATGTTTAGTACAAGAAATGTAAAAATAAACATGGAGCTCAATTTGAAACATATGATGAGATGAAAGCAAATGAGATGTGTAAAAACATTTCTTAATACAATTCAACTTTAAGCATCAAGCTCATTCTCAATAGCGGCCTCATTTTTCTGGTAATCGATCCACATTTGAGTTGCTATGTACTCTCTAACAGCTTCACCTTCTGATGCCTCGCTACTTTGACCACTCGAAGCATGAATTGTTTCATTCGAAGCATCTTGGTTAAGAAGCTCCTTATCAACTTCTCTTAATATTTCATCATTAGGGTCAACACTCATACGAAAGTTATGAAGAGTGATGCATGCATATATTATCATTTTTTGTACTTCTATCCCATATGTAGGCTCTGTTCCATTGGATAAGATAAGATAACTGCAAGATGGGAAAAGTGTTGGCCACTTTTCTTGGGAACATCAACAATTAAGGAGGAAAGGGAAATTGGTAGTAGGAACTGATCCACAGTTAAAACTGAAAATCTTACGTTGGGCACATGACTCTCCTGCTGGAGGCCATTCTGGAAGAGATGCCACATTACAGAAGGTGAAGAATCTGTTTTTCTAGAAGGGACTCAATAAAGAAGTGACACATTTCATTAGACACTGTGTGGTTTGCCAATCCTGTAAACATGAAACCACTGCCCCTGCTGGTCTCTTACAGCCACTACCAATCCCTCAGGAGGTCTGGATGGATGTCTCTATGGACTTTATTGAAGGATTACCCAACCCTTATGGTAAGAAGGTAATCTTTGTTGTTGTAGACAGATTGAGCAAATATGCTCATTTTATGAGCCTCTCCCATCCCTATACAACGCTTGAAGTGGCACAATCTTATTTGGACAATGTCTATAACTCTATGGAATGCCTAAGTCCATTGTGAGTGATAGGGATGCTGTGTTTCTGAGTACATTCTGGCAGGCTCTATTCTCAGTGCATGGGGTAGATTTGTTACTCTCATCTTCTTACCATCCACAAACAGATGGTCAAACAGAGATAGTTAACAAATGGTTGGAAAGCTACTTGAGGTGCATGACCTGCGAGAATCCAAAAAATTGGTCTAAGTGGTTACCTCTGGCAGAATGGTGGTATAACACTACCTTTCATTCAGCTACACGTTTGACTCCCTATAAGATTGTTTACCATCAAAGACCTCCTATCCATTTACCCTACCTGCCAGGGGAATCCAAAGTTGAAGCTGTGGACAGGTCCCAACAAAAGAGAGAGGAGATGATTAAGGTGCTTAAGTTTAATCTGTTGAAGGCTCAAAACAGGATGAAACAGCTTGCGGATAGCCATAGATCAGAAAGGACTTTTCAGGTGGGAGATTGGGTTTGGCTTAAGTTCCAACCCTATAGACAAACTACATTGCTGACCAGAAACAATGAGAAGCTGAGCGCTAAGTACTCTGGTCCTTTCCAAATTCAAGTTGTTGTTGGCAAGGTGGCCTACAAACTGCAGCTACCAGAGGAAACCAAAGTCCACAACGTCTTCCATGTATCCCTCTTAAAGCCCTTCAAAGGGACACTACCAGCAAAACCACATATCCCAACATGGCTACAGGGTCTCAACACAGAAGACTTGCCCAAGCCCATGGCTATTCTTGCTCGCAGACCAGCTAAGAAGAATAACATGGCAAAGACCCTGTTTTTGGTTCAGTGGACTGGTCAGTCCCCAAAAGATGCCACGTGGGAATGGGCCAAAGAGTTACTGAGTAAGTTCCCAGAATTCCAACCTTGAGGACAAGGTTGCTAAAAGGGGGATGGTATGTTACAGCACAAGCATCTAGATGGAGCCAGGTGGCTGGTAAACTGATTCTGTTAGCGGTAGTTAGGGCTGTTACTGATTTGTGGGAAGCTGTTATAGTTAGTTAGAAGTTGTTGTGAAGATTGTTGTAAGCCCTTTGTATAAATACCATACCCTGTGTACATTTGGGAGTTATGAATAATAAGACATCACTTTCTTCTTCCTCTCTTTCCTCTGTAACTGTCATTCTCCATTACAGTTAATTCGAAGCTCTCATTCTGCCATTAGAGTAGCTTCCTGATAACTGTAACA